GTGTTAATATGAGCATTGAGACTTCCTTCATCTAACCAATGCGTGAAACGATCAGCATACAATAAGTAAACAGCGGAGCAAGCACTTAAAAAAATACTGATCCTGATTACTGAAATTCTGTCCGGACGAAGTAGGTACATTCATAAAATACTCCGGAGGCGCCACACAAAAATTCCGGAGGTGCCACGTAAAGACTCCGGCCAGCCGGAGGGAAATGCCAGTAAAAAGTACTTTGCTCCGGTCAGCCGTAGTGAGAGAGAGAGAGAGAAGGAATGTAGGAAAGGTAGGGAGGTTAACTAGACTATGCGTCCAGTTTGCTACCCTACACAAGGGGAAGGGGAGAGGGGAGTAAAAGAGAGAGAGAAGGATAGACACATGTCACATCACACACACAATTCCGAGTTTCACAGGTGGTCCTTCAATGAAGTTGTTGACAAGTATCTCAGGAGGGCTCGTGTGGCTTTCTGTGCTGATGTGCTGCGCGACCAGGCTCCTAAGATCTTTGCTTCATTAAATGGCCGGTCATCGAGTCTGTTCAAGGCACACTGGAGAGTCCGGCGATCTTCATCGAATTGGGCACAGTGGCACAAGAGATGTTCAATAGTCTCTATACAGTTGCAGCTTTCACACATGGATGAATCCGCCATGCCAATGCGATGGCTGAATGACTTAGTAAACGCTACCCCAGTCCACAGCCGGCACAGCACTGTAGCGTCACGTCGAGAAACCTTGGATGGCAGTTGTTTCTGAAGTAATGACTTCAGATTCTTAGGGCGTTTATTGGAGTTAGGTGAAGAATTCCAGTGCGCAAGCGTGGCATTATGCGCGATGTGACGAAGTTCTCTAGCTGCGTCTGCTCTTGACAATGGTATTAACAGTGTGGGCGCTCCATCGTGGGCACATCGGGCAGCGTCGTCGGCGAGGTGGTTACCACTGATGCCACAGTGGCCCGGCAACCATTGTAAAACAATGTCGTGTCCTTGATCAGCAGCGCGATGACAAATTTCATTAATACGATACACCATCTGGTGGTAGTTTCCACGTCGTAGACTTCGCACGCATTGAAGGGCTGCCTTGGAGTCACAAGAAATGGCCGTAGTGAAATATCTGTTAAAGTATTCCATTTGCGCCACGCCATTCCTCCAGCCAGTTGGAGCTAAAACTTTGCCCCGAAGGTCCGGAGCAAAACTTCCTCTGAACAGGGTGGACGCTGGAATCAAGCGTTTTACTCGGACTTCGGAGTAATTCTTTTTTACAGTGTAGCCGTTGAAAGATAACAGTATATGGTGACATGGACGTTTAGCAAGATTTTGATTTCCGCTCGTGTAGACGAGTTCACTCTGAACAATATTATCAAGCGGTATGCTGCGCGTATGGAAAAAGAGAAATCACACGCTTTTCCTTCCTTTTGTTCCGTCACCCGTTTCAACGTGGAGCTCTATCGTTTTGTCGTCTTCTGGAAATGAAAAAGTTCGCGCATTTGATTGCAGATATACACGGGCGCATGCAGATGAACGCAATTGAATGAGAGATAAAGAAAACACAAAAAGAAAAGTCGATAGATCCCACCTTCTAGACATCTTGGATGACTGTGTAAGGGACCCTGTGAGACTTTTGCTTTTTAACACGTCCCATGTCGATTCTCTAAATTCAAATCATTTTCGTGATCGTTGTTACCTGATATATTTTACTTTTCGGCACAGGCTCCTAGGTTTGATGCGTTCCGGCTAGGATGGATATTGGCTACAATCTAGTTCATCTTCCGCTAGTATCTGGTTGCATCGCATACGAGAAATAAACGTGCTCTTTTGAGAGCGTTAATATTTTTTTACCTCTCTTTACTGTCGCATAATCGTCAAGAATTCGAATCGCCGTGGAGAAAACTACTCCGAGAACTTTGCCCAATTATGCGCAAAGCATGTTATCGATCAGCCTGACAGTGAACGAAATTGTGAATATAAAATAAATGCGTTGTAGTATAAAAACAGCAACAACAACAATAATAATAACAACAACAACCTCATAATCTTTAGAGAACGCAAGGACTCGGTGGTGCAGCAATGCTGATCTCCTCTTGCCTACAACGGCAGAGACGACGCAAAAAGCGCTTCCGCGCGTATACGTTAGTGCCGTATTCGGAACACCCAACGCGACGCCTACTTCATAATTCTGCCTCCGATGTTGCGCCTGCACAGTCTCTCGCGTGACTACTGGGACAAACATATCGGTCGAAATCGAGCACACTCTTATCGCTGTCAGGCAGATAGCATCGCCCTATTGGTAGCAGGCAGCCCACCCACGTCAGTAGCACTGTTTCTGCCGATGTTTTTTTTTTTGTTGTGTGTGTGTGTTATTTGCATTATCATCATTTTTGTTTCCTCTATCTCGACTCGGGATTTACAGCTCCCTCGAAGCAATGGCTCGCGAAAATTAAAGCGAGGCTGTTCCTTTCAAAAATTATAAGGTGTAACATACGTATCCCTGTAACTTTAGTTGCTCATGTGACCTTCGTTTCGGCGACATGTTCTACGAATGAAGAAAATGAAAGAGAAAAATGACGGGGGCCTCCGCGACAGCGACCAACGCGAAAGAAATAGGCGGGTCGTGTGAGCTGGGTGCACTCTTTGAAGCAAGCAGAGAAACCGCTTGGCCGAACCAGTTTAGAACACGCGGCAGAAACGCGGTGTGACTGCCACGAAGCGTCCCTGAGCGGACCCTGTAAACTCGTACTGGTGCTGCGCACAAAACGCCACTGGAACCGATATAAACACAAACAAAATGTGAGAGGCCGGTGAATTTAAGCGAAGTAAAGAAAGAGAGACAAGGGTATTCGACTCTCGGGTTCACAATAGAGAAGACACGGAAGCCACGGAGGTGAAGATGTCCCTGCTAGGAACGGCAGTCGTGTCAGTAAGGGGGAAGGGGGGGGGGGGAGTGTGTGCGTGGAGTGGCCCGGGTCTTACGGACAAGAGGGACACAAGCGGTGGCGGCAAGTTGTGAGAATAGTTCGAGTGGGGGTAACTGGTCCCCCAGAAATTTCAAGTGGATGGAGGAGGGCCTGCGTTGACGGCTACCTGGTCGTCCGGAGAGAGGGTAACCTGGAGGACAGGAACAATGGTGGTTGGGACAACAGGTATGCAGCATATTGAGAGACCGCTGTCCGTGTGACCGACGAGCCCGCGGCTGCCGTTCAAGCGAACCATCACGCGCTCGGACACACCGCGTTAAAGCGCACACTGGACAAGCGGCGGATGAAACCAATGCAAAGAACGGTGGTGGGTCGTGTACGGAAAGAATACAGGTGTGTGTGTGTGTGTGTGTGTGTGTGTGTGTGTGTGTGTGTGTGTGTGTGTGTGTGTGTGTGTGTGTGTGTGTGTGTGTGTGTGTGTGTGTGTGTGTGTGTGTGTGTGTGTGTGTGTGTGTGTGTGTTTGGCGCTCGCCTTCAATAAGTTCCTTTTGGTGGACGAGCAGAAACGATCGCGGCGAGTGAAAGAGGAGTGCGCGCGACTCGTTTTTCGAACGAAGCAACACAGCCGCCCCTTCTTGTTTGCTCAGACTTGGCTTCACTACGCGCGCCGCTTGCCTGAAGGAGAAGTGAAGGAGAGTGCGAGGAAAGGGACAGAGCGGCCGGCTGCTTCCGCCGCTTGACGAGAGGGGCTCGCGAAGCGGTGCGGCCCGCGCGAGTCGATGCTGCTTGGTGGCAGCGGACGCGAGACCAGTCGCCCCTGTGATCGCCGCCGGTCAGGTCGTCCCGCCGCCACAGCGCTCCTACTCACCTCGCGCTCGCCGCTTCGCGAGTTTCCACCACGCAAGCTTCTGTCGAGCAAAAGTTTGTCGTCGGCGCATCGAGTGCGCTGCCGTGAGCGCCGCCCTTGCTAACCGCGTCTTCATATTTTATTTTTTATTCCTTTTTTTTCGTTCTTTAGTAAACCAGGCTGGACACCGTTGGATGGGAGTCACTCACCTCGGCGTCAGATTTGTACTACTTGAGTGATCACCGGGGTGCTTTGAAAGTGTTTGTCGACTGCGGCCAGCCCTGCGGTGGTTTGGGAGTCGCGCCGCGGAGGAATAGTTACAGGACACGCGGCATCGATCTCAGATACTGTCCTTTTAATTTTCTGCCTACGCATCGACTGGGCTCACAAGAGTCTGCCGTGACTTGCCGTGAAGTTAGTGCGGAAGTTAGTCACCACTAGTGACTTCAAAAACTAACTCCTGCTCCGCGCGCTCGCGCGCGCGCGTGAGCCACTTGTGTTTATAATTTCTTTCCTCCCTCTCGCTTTCTCACAGTGGCAGCGATGCCGACTTGTTTCGACCGCGTGCTTGCGGCACTGACTTATCTATTCGGGCGGCTGTTGTGACTTCGGGGTTAAAACGTTTCGTTTTGCCCAGCTCTTCCATCGTGTTCCATTGCGAAACATCGTGCGCGTCACTGCGGCAGCTCTCTTGTCTGCATCGTCGTGTTGCCGCTGCCACTAGTACGTGCCTTCTTGTCACACGCTCCCGTCGTGTGAGAGACAGCTGAGGCCAGACCTAATAAAAAGGGTGCGCGTGTCTAAGCAACCAGACATTGAGATCAACAACAGCGGGAATCAGAAGCAGTGAACTTTGAACGACGCGAAACTGATTGTTCATCGTGATGCGTCTCCCGTGGCTGCTCGCCCTCAAGGCCCTCATCGTGATGGCACTGCCGCAACGACGCGAGCTGTCCAACGCCATCGAGGACGTCTCTTCGGCGTCGCTGTCTTCGACGACCAACGGCGGCGGCGAGGAGTTGCCGCGCCGTCATCACGGCCAACAGCAGCAGCGACTCAAGGACGGGGCGGCCGTCTCCCGGTTGCTTCAGGTATTCGGGCTGCGAGAACCTCGGCGTCGCGAGCGTCACCAGCAGCCTCCCGTCTACATGCTCGAGCTGTACAACGCCACCGCGGGCTCCGGAGGGATTACGCGATCGGCGAACAAGTACAACGCCAACCTGGTGCGCAGCTTTCCCGACCGAGGTAGGTGGTGCATCGGCGTGGGGCCCACGTTGCCTTCGGAAGCCGCTTGATTTCATTTATCTTTTTTGCCGCTCGCTTGGCATCCTTCATCGTGAGCATAGGCCGCGTGCCCAGGATGCCAATGACGTCGGTGATGGGAGTGCAGTTTTGTTTCATTGTCACCGAGTTCTTGTCGCACTGTCTCTGTAGTGCAGTGAGCTTCTCTGTACAAGCGACTACGTTTGCGACAAAAGCGTGGCTATCGTCTGACCGCGCGAAAGAAACGCATTCCGTAGCTGATATCTTTTGGCTGCCTGGTCACGCACCTGTGTCCTAATGTAGCGCTGGTCGACCGCTAGAATTCGCCGTACGGAGCAAATTCTATCGGTCGAGTAAAAGTTTCCACTAGGTTAGGAGCAATAGTTGACAAGTAATATACACATATTGGCTCGCGTGTATGCAGAGAATTTGCACGGGACATTCGATACACGAAGCCTGGCAGCATTCTCGTGTATGACACTGACACCTTCGATACCAGTTTTACTTCAATGGTAGTTTGTGAGTGTTTCTATACTGCATAAAACACTTGCAGCGCTGCAGCTGTGGCAGTTCCCGTGGGACCACGGCAACAACTTTGCTATTCATTTTAGCCGCACCATACTTTTGTGCTGACCATATGAGGCGCCCTCATTAAAGAAACGTCTGCATGGTTGCAAATGAATGGACTTCACGCATCGATATATGTAGTACGTTTGTTCAGCATGCGAACTAGCAGTGAAGTCCTCGATTGCGCGTCCATTTACCTGATATATTGGCATTGTTTTCGAAGTGCTAGCCTCGTTCGCTTGTTCATTGAATACCTTAAATGTATACGCTATTCAGTCGTAACACCTTATGCGTGAGAGCGTAGCTAGCACGCTTACCACGAAGCAGTACACGCGGTTAGTGTGCATTAGTAGTTTTGATGGGGTGGCATTCAAGACGCCGAAAATCAAAAGGCCGAACTATCGGAATGCCAAAATTTTAAAACACCGAAAAATCATAACGTCGCAAAGGTAAAAAGTCGAGAATTTCAAATGCCGAAAAATAAAAGCACCGAAGCATCAAAATGCCGAAACATCGAAATGCCGACCTCACCGGGCTTATAGTGAAAGAATGTATGATCACAAAATAAAGATTGCTCCGCTTTTTTACGATATGCTTGCGCTTTTGCCCTCGTTTCCAATAGCCATGCTCTCTTTGAATATGGTTCAGCCATTCGAAACTCACCACCATCTATGGTTGTTCGGTACTAGCCCTCGAGGTCGATCTCCTGCATGGCTCATGTGGGCAGTCCGCTTCCCTTTTCGTTCTCACAATCTGGCGAGAGGCTTCATCACTAAGAAGGTGTTGCCTTGAAGGCGCTGGTACATATGCTGAATTCCTACACAAGCTTCATGGGCACTTTGCCCGAGGCCACCTACACAGCTTTTGTCCGCTCTTGAGTGCGAAGAACTGTCGCTCTACATAGCGACATGTGGAGGATGGCTTGCCTGGACCGCTTTTTTCTTAACGACTTTGCAAGTATCTTATCCATGAAGGTCGGTAATCATTCTAGCATTACACTTGCCTCTCGCACCTCCAGTAGTGTCTAGAACGTATTATTTTTTGTAAGCATCTACACATAATCATCTTTGCATGAAAGTTCTGTTTTTCTACTCTGCGAACACACGACAACCCTGTCTTCCATTTTCATCAATTCACAACTGGCTCACATTGCTGCTGCTTTTGTACTCCGAACGCTGGACAGCACTGTTTTACTTCTGCTGACCCGTAAGAGCCGTCCTGTCCAACTGATATGCCTAGCTTCACAACAGGTAAAAAATACAAAATTTTACATTGGTTTATTATTTCTATACTGGTACATTTCCAGGTTAAGTTAAACAGCTAGATTAGAGGACAGTGACATGCCGGAAAATTAACAAGTGGTAGTGATAATTGACAAAGCGCGTCATTTATTTTTCACATGGTTCGATGAAATTCGCTGCATGTTGTTTCGGCTCTCTGTCTGTTCGGTGTTTTCATTTTTCGACATTTTGATTTTTTTCATTTCACTTTTTCGGCATTTTAATTTTTCGTCGCTCTGACATTCGGCCTTTTCATAGTACGGATTTTTCATTTTCAGCATTCTGATAGGGCTGGACCCGCTTTGATGACAGTCCGTGATATAACGCGGAATAAACGTAGATTATCAAGGCTGTCTTGCTCCAGTGAACGCGAGGTACAGAACAAAGCCAACAAAGTGCTTGTCTTCTTCCAGTTTTCCTTTAAATCTTCCTCAATGCCACTTTTTCCGGCGTCCAGCGTTGGTGTTTCTCGCCATTGCGCAGAGATTTGTGTATATCATCACGAGCCGTCCCGGGCTGATCCGTGCCATCGACGAATGACGAGACAGGCATGTATAAGATTATTGAATCATAGACACGTTATCCACGGCGTGCTCTTTTGACGTCGGCTCGACGTGAGGATTGCGAATGCTACGGGGCGGGGCGGTGGGTGGTTTGCTGCCGTCTGGGACGCTGTCTGAGGCGTCGACGCCAACGGCCCGACGAGGGAGGCCACGGCACAATAGTGAATACGACTGAATGAATGCGCGTCCGCTCATGACGAGGGGCTACAGACTAAGCAGTGACATTCCCGAGACTCCCGCACGGGTAGCTGACTCGTTGCATGGCCCCTTTTGCATGCTTTTTCTCAAGTGCGGACGCTGTGAGCATGCATGCAGAGAGGGATGTCTGGTGCACGCTCGCCAGAAATGACCAGGAGGGGCGCAATCTATGCATAAGCGGCTGCGTTGCCGACATGCCTTAATAATATCTGGGGTTTAACGTCCCGAATCCATGATGTGATTATGAGAGACGCCGTAGCCGAAATTTTGGCCATCTCGCGTTCTTTAACGTGCACCGACGTCGCGCAGTATGCAGGCCTATACCGTTTCGCCTCCATCAAAATGTGTCTGCCGTGGCTGGGATGCAACCCGCGACCTTCAGGCCAGCATCTCAGCCACTGAGCCATGGCAGCGGACTGCTGATATGCTTTCGTGTTCTTTTTTACGCCCAAGTTTAGCTAGAGCGCTCTATTCGTTTTTTTTTTCCTTAACAAAGAACGCTGCTCGTGGACGTATAGCGTGGTCAGTGCGATCAGGCGTGAGGGTGGCGCTCGCTTCTTGGAAAACTTTAGTACAAAAACAAAACCAGTGGCGGGGGTGAGGAACAGCTGTGCTTATCTAGGCGACTTTCAGCTACTTGTTTCACTTCGTCTTTGCCTACAAAAGAGTGGAGGATAGACGTAGATTACACAATAACCTCTTTAATCTTGCGCTATTGTCCCGCCGCGATTGTCTAGTAGCTAAGGTACTCGGCTATACCTTAGCAACGATCGGGTAGCTGCCCCTGGCCGTGCTATCCCAAGTCGGCATGCTCAATTTTTACTCGGCTATACTGACCTGCAGGTCGCTGGATCGAATCCAGGCTGCAGCGGCTGCATTTTCAATTGAGCCGAAAATTTCCGTGTGCTCAGATTTCGGTGCACGTTGAAGAACCCGAAGAGGTAGAAATTTACGGAGTCCTCCACTACAGCATCTCTGGTAATCATATGATGGTTTGGAGACGTTAAACCCCAAAAATCAGTCAATCAACCTTGCACCATCTAAATACGTGTCGCGCAACCGCCCCTTACGTGACTAAGTCGGGTGCAGCTAAATATACTCCAGTTACACCTGCCTTCGAGGAAATTTACGCCGAACATTTAGCAATGTGGTATACCTTTATACCTACACAATCAACAACAATTTGCATCAGTGGCCTCGCAATGTAACCTACCCCTGTCATCATTTCACCGCACAATGCATTCCGTTTCTAAAGATATTCTCGAAGTTTGTCCCTATGTATTGTGTACTCTGCACGTGAACAACAACAAAACAGAAACGTTCGGACGTTATACCACAAATATAGCAAATGATATATACCGTATTTGACATATATAATATTGTTAGGATATTGTACGTGATATATGTCATATTTCATATCTTACGTGTGATATATATGAAATATCCAGTCTAGCTCTATCCTGCATTTTAGTCAAAAGTTAAAAATGAACCTGATACCTGCATGAAATTTTCAGTGATGATTTGTATCAGTTTCGCGCCTAAATTTCCCTAGTGTGAAACAAAAACACCCCTTGTGTCACACAAGCGGCCAGACTTACTGATTACATTGTGCACGTCCAGCGCAACAGCGCCAGATAGACTGTATGCCGTAGAAACACCGGTGTCGACGCCGTTGGTTGTGAGAAAATTGATCGGCTTTGTCCGTATGTGAAAAATCGAGATAGATGAAAATAATTAAATTATTAGGATATTTGATTCGAGCTTCTTGCACAAAGCAGATGTTTTACACCAGAACCACGTCAGTGCGCCTGGGCTTCGAAACGTCTTTGCAAAGAAAAAAAGTAGCCTGTAGACAGCCGTCATATTATACGGTGCGAGGAGTCCCGCTAAGATGTTGTGTTTCGCAGCACAAGGGTTAGATCGCACGAGGCGTAACACCGTCAACATTTGAATTGCGTAACGATTGGGTGGTTTAAAGGCTCACTCATTTCGAAGCTCTCAGAGATAACTAATTATCAGAGAGATAAAAGAGAGAGAAAAACAAAACAAGGAGAGACAGGGAGGTCAAGCATGACGCACAGCAACAACGTCAGCGAAGCGTGGAGCCGCGCGTATTGCCTTACACGGACGCGTTGTGTGGGTACTTCGCTGATTAGCAATATGATGTTGGGTATTGTATACTTCGTAACTGCATCTGGAGTAGGCATGTCTTCGTGGAGAGTTTCAAATGTTGCGCCGCAGACGCTCTATTCCTCGTGACGCAGTCGAGATGCCTGCTGGGAAGTGATGCTGCAACATGCGAATGAGAAGGCAATTAGAACATGGCCCGTTCACGCCACCGCGTTCTATATACTCTTGACGGCCAGGCGGGACC